GGCCACATTAGACCCCGACCAACCCCTAATATTACAGAGTATACTTTATGTGTAAAAAATTATCTATACATGCACACCGTGATATTATAGTTTGATTTATGTATAAGCTTTAATTTGATTGATTGAATGATTGATTGATTGATTAGGACATTATCGGAACATGTTGCAAAGAAGATGAACAAAAGCCTGAGAAGGGAATTAGGAATTAAAAAGTACACGGGTCCATGCAACGCAACGAACCCCATCGACCGTTGTTGGCGTTGCGATCCCAAATGGGAAACCAACCGGAAGAGATTGGCCGATTGCGGGCTAGGCTTCGGTCGTAAAGCCATTGGTGGCAAGAACGGTGGCTTTTACGTCGTCACGGACAGCTCGGACAATCCGTTGAACCCCAAACCGGGGACTCTCCGCCACGCGGTGATCCGAAAGGAGCCATTGTGGATCATCTTTGCACGGAGCATGAACATCAGGCTCGAGCAAGAGCTGATCATGCAAGGCGACAAGACGATCGACGGTCGTGGGGTCCAAGTGCACATCGCCGGTGGGGCCGGGATCACCCTCCAATTCATCAAGAACGTCATCATCCATGGGATATATGTCCACAACATCGTCCAAGGTAGTGGGGGACTCGTGAGAGATTCTGTTGACCATTATGGAATCCGAACCAGGAGTGACGGCGATGGTATCTCCATATTCGGATCTTCGGATATTTGGATTGACCATGTCTCCATGAAGAATTGTTATGATGGTCTTATTGATGCCATTGAAGGATCCACGGGTATCACTATTTCCAATAGCCACTTCACCGATCATAATGAGGTACGTGATTAACCAACGTGTATGGAAGTTTGCTGGCTAATTTCGTCCCAATATTTTGTGCTATATAGTTGACTTTTTGGTCAAAAGTGTTAGACTTTGACCAATGTTTTTGAAAGTACGTTGACAATGTTTTAAATCAACACATTTTCAATTTGGTAATAGCAAACGTTCAAGTACAACTTTGACGAATTTGTAAAAACGTGCAATTGCTCATAATTTAACATAAAGTGAGTATTAAGGGGGTGTTTGGATTATCATCGGGAAACTAGTTATGTTTCTTCAGGAAGCAGATATTGTAGTGTTTGGGTGAAAGTGAACAAATATTATGGAGTGCTCCAAATTAATCATAGAAGCAATTTTCTGAAAAATAATTCTGATTCGATCTGTTTCTTCTTTTAGAAAAGAAACATAAGAATCAAATTCCAAACACACCTTATAGTATTTTTCATTTCTCAACCATATACGGAGTACATGATTTGGATGGTTTATCATCATTTGTACAAATGGAAAGCTTAATTGTAATTATATATGTTGAATTGAAGGTGATGTTATTTGGGGCAAATGACAATTCAAAGAAGGATAAAATTATGCAAATCACGCTTGCATTCAACCACTTTGGGAAGAGATTAGTGCAAAGAATGCCAAGATGCCGATTTGGATATATTCATGTGGTCAACAATGACTACACTCATTGGAATATGTATGCCATTGGAGGCAGTGCTAACCCCACCATCATTAGTCAGGGCAACCGGTTCATTGCTCCTCCGGACAGGTTCAAGAAAGAGGTATGTAATTACTAAAATCAATAATTTGTACATGTAAAAAATCCCTATTATTTCATTATTAAATTCCTCCTGACGTAAAAACATGTACCAAAGTAGGTTAAGTTGGCTAATACTACTATGATTTATTATGACTAAATCCAAACTTGCACGCTTACTAGACTATGATTTTAGTATTTGGAAGATCAAAATGCAATTGTAAACGATAAACAAAAATCATTGGATAAATATGTGGTTTGTATAAAAAAGTATAACTTTGTATTGATTACGCATCAAATAATTTTGTACTGGTACTATAAATATCGAGAAAGAGAAATAATGACATACGTCACAAATAAATAAGGTTGACAAAAAGTAATACTCCGTATCTTATATACTCTTGGTTGTATTTTTATTCACAAATTTCGTTGCAGTTTTATATTAAGTACTTAAAAATTAATTTATGCATTGTACAATATACACTACAAAAAAAACGGGATTGACATGAATTTTTGGCAGAGATTCACCAAAATACATAGGAGATTTGACACGGATACACCAAATTCGTGCCAACGGCGTTTTGTCACGAGATATTTGGCACGAAATCATCGAACAATCCACACCAAATTCGTGACAATGCTGTTATATATTGTTTTGTAGTGATATATACAAAGTATATGTTTTTTCAATTTACAACCCAATGGTTTGAATGTGTGCATGGGTGTGATTGTGTAATTGTGTAGGTTACTCATAGAGCAGCTGGGAGTGAGGAAGAATGGAAGCAATGGATATGGAGGTCAGAAGGAGATATATTCATGAATGGGGCTTTCTTTGTCCAGTCTGGAGATCCAACTTATACGTCAAAACAAAACAATTTACATTATGATGGAATAAAGGCATTCAAGGGGGAGGAAGTGACTTGGCTTACTCGATTTGCAGGGGCACTGCCTTGCAAAATAGGATCACCTTGTTAAATAATTAATTAGATTGTATTTTCTACAGATCGATCTTTCTTATTGCCTGTCTCTATATGTGTTTTTTGCTAATGTTGTGCCATTATTATTGATGCAATATAATGTCCCAAATTTGTTAGACATGAAGTTTTGTGGAAATTACCTAAGAGTGATGTGCTTCCTGATAAATTGTGAGTAATTCTAGAGTCCGTTTGATAATATCAATCAGTTGATCCTGCTAAAATTTATGAAATTCCGACTTAAACGACTGAATGAATTGACTGACACTACACTAAAAATCATTTATAGAGGCAACACTTTGAAGCAATTTGCCTCTAAAAGACTCTTTTAGTGACATGTAATTATTGGTTGCCGCTAATCTTATGCTTTTGGAGCAACCATAATTTTCTTGTATCTAAGAGGAATTTTTTGGAGCAGCCATTTTAGAGTTGCCTCTAAAAGATTGTGGCAAAAGTATAGTCACCTCTAAAGGTATTATTTAAAGCAATTTTTTTAGGGTCACTTCTAAATTTTTTTGCAAAGGTATAGTCACCCTTGAAACATAACTGCGTTTTATATGTTTAAGTTGGAGCAGTTATCTTCAAAAAATTATTTGACTGCCTTCCCGATCGAATTTTTAGCTGAAATTTTTTGTGGATAAACTAGACTTGATGAGGAACATTACATAAAAATTTCATATCTATATATATTTGACTGTCTGCCCGATCGAATATCCGGCTGGACAGGATCATTCCTCTATCTATATATCTATATATATACACAAATATTCCGGTCAGGAAATTCCTGACCGGAGTCCCGTCCGGCCTCCTCCATTTGGGGGCCTTCCCGCTGGTATTTTTTGCTCAAATTTTTTGTGTATGTTCCTCATCAAGTCTAGTTCATCCATACCAAATTTCAGCATAAAAAATCAATTGGGAAGGTCGTCAAATGATTTTTGCAAGTTAACTGGTCCGGAATATGTATTTTCCGGACCAGTTAACTTGAAAAAATCATTTGACTACTTTCCCGATTGAATTTTTTGCTGAAATTTGGTATGGATGAACTAGACTTGATGAGAAACATACACAAAAAAATTGAGAAAACAATACCACCGGGAAGGCCCCCAAATGGAGGAGTCCGGACGCCTCATCAAGTCTAGTTGATCCACAAAAACTTTCAGCTAAAAATCCGATCGGGAAGGCGGTCAAATAATTTGTTGAAGATAAATGCGCCAAATTAAACATATAAAACGCAGTTATGTTTCCCCATAGATAAAAATTTATCTCGCTCCAATGCGAAGGAAGGTGGCCAGATTTCCGCCGCCGAACAGTACTCGCAAGTCCAGACGTGGATCTCCTTCATCTTAATAGAATATGGCTTCTTGAATAATTCGTGCATAGGGATAAGGAACTTTGGATAAATACATCTTTGTTGGTTGTCTTATCGTCCGCCATAATCAATAGTACAAAATCAATTATAACGAAGGTAGTGCACAGAAAATGACATGATTAATCAAAACGAATACTAAACTATTTTTAAACTTATTTCATGAGAAGGGGACTAGGTGTCACGCCCCGGACCTCCCCGGACACGTCAACAACCCGCCGTACAATACGAATAGTGTGACACCGCACCCGAACGTCCTTGAAAATTCCATTTAAAATTCAAAGTTTACGAAGTGAATTTCCGACTTCCAAACAATTGTAAAACGATTAATGTTTTTCGTAGTGCATGGTTGATTTTTGTACTGTTCAAACTCGTACATTAGTATCGGGTTCGCAAATACTTATTTGGTCCTTATTAATGAATATAAGAGCCCAACATTTCCCAAATAAAGATATACAACCTTTCAAGACAAACTGAGGAAGGACGGGCGGCCCAAACATTATTTCGGGCCCAACCCGCTAAAAATAGCAAGTATTCGAGAATGGCGTCCTAGACCCACTCGGTAGTGACCCACACGGCTAGTAGCCCAATAATATGTATGACAAATGTCAAAATAAGTGATGGAATGATTAGAGAAGAATACAAATGCATATAGCCCCATCTTTGGCATTATGGAGCTAAATAATGGGAGTAGGGTTTTTTTTCTATAATATTCATCACATGAATTATTGGGATGATCCTACACATATTGGGAATCAATGATATGATGTAGGAAGTTAACTTGTTCTAAATAAATTAGGATGAGTACAAAAAGACATCTTTTGACAAAAGATTAAACAATAGGACCCATTCTTCCATTTTTGGATGTATTAGTTAATATTTTGCTCCCAAAATAATTGGGGAACAACATGCTGCGCCCCATCCCTTCCTTCCACCTGCAAGACAAGAAAAATAATGTTAGGAGGATGCCATAGCTGACTTTAGGGGCTGGAATTGACAAAGGAAGCAAGAGGGAACCCCACCTAGTCTATTTTCACACAAAAGGATGGTGCTGGTTGTCTCCCTCCATGAGTGATGTTATACTCGACCAAATAAGGTGAATGAGGTGTCCTTGGATAGCCTTTGAAGTCTAGTTACTTATTTGAGTGGTCTCTGTCCGAGAAGGGAGAGTTTATCCCACAAAAAACCGAGCTGGAGTGAACTGCTGTCTGTAAACTCGAGCAGTGAAAGTGCTGAAGCTGTTTGGTTGATATCTCGAATTATACCAATTCAATCAAGGCGAGTAAGATACCAAAAGAAAGCTCTCAAGACGAGGAATCCGTGAAGGTCTGGTTTGCATCAATCGGAGTAGTGGAAGGCTTCCAAATCGTCCGAGCAAAACGCAACCTCGCAGAAACGGATCTACTCTTCTAAAAGTGAGTTGTTAACCCCAAAACCTTTCCATTCATTTTCCAAATGATATGAAAGATTGGTGGAACTATTATACACTACTCCAAGTGTATAATATGTCCCTATTAAGTTATTTTATTGATGTAAAGGTTAGATACTAACCTAGAGCAAATCTTGGAAAACCAGGAAACGAGTTAGCCGGAAAACACTCATTCTAGGGGCTGTTTTCGTACCAACGATTAGGGGTTGAACTAGCACTTTGAGGAGGCTGTTTAACACTCAATTCCAAGCAAGGAATCAGTTCTCAAACCTTCTTGGCCGAGGCTTTGGTCATTGGAGCGAGAAGGAAGGTTTTAAAGCTCATTTGAGGTGAGGATTGACATCTAATTGCTTACAACTTGTAGGTTAAGCATGAGATTACCTAAATGCTTAAATCATGATTTTTCATGGATTATGATGATTATATATTGATGAAATATTGATATAGTTGCCAGAGAATGAAATTTGAAATGATTTGAGAAGGTATGAATAATATGAGATTAAATGAGTATAAATGAACTATTTTGTGAAATAGGCATTTTGCTTATGTATGAATTATGTGGATACATAAATGAATATTTGTGTATTGAGATTGAATGCTTAAGTTGCTGCTACATAATTATAAATATGTAGAGAATTACAAATAATGAGGATAATGGTATGATAACAATAATCTTAATAGTATTGAAATACTAGTTAGTGATTATTGGAACTTGTTGATTAAATTGATCCTAGGGATTGGATTGTATGAAAGGTACTTGAATATAGTTCGAGTGTATATAATAACTTAGTATGGAACTAAGGTTAAGTTATGGGAAGTTTTTAAGGATGACCCATGGTAGTTTAATGATATGTCAATTCTAGGCATAGGGTTGCTTGAGAATTGGACCTTAATGCATGGTGATGTGATAGAGCCGAGCTCTAGAATGCATGTAAGGTGTAGACTTGGAGTCTATGTATTGTATAGCTAGAGCCGAGCTCTAGGACTTGCGTGGTGATGTGATAGAGCCGAGCTCTAGAACGCAAGGTAAGGAAATTGACCTGAGGTATATGAATTGTATGGTGATGTGGTAGAGCCGAGCTCTAGAATACAATGTCATGTACTAGGGTTGGACTCTAGGAGTTGACGTGACTTATAGTCACGGGGTTGGGAATGGTGATTTCCAAATGAACATGGGCCCACGAGCCGACTACTTGACTCTTATATAAAGTAAGTATATTTTTAAACGGGGTAACTTAGGGTTACAATCATAATGTACTATCACCCTATTTGAGGGTCTTGTGTTTGAAATACTTGTTGTATATCTATTAGATGCCTGCCACACCAGTACTTTATAGCCGTATAGAGTACTGACCCCTTCGGGGGCGTCCCACCACCATTTCAGGTTGAGGCTAGAGCTTGCTTCCTGTGCTCGTTGCCCGAGTGATTTCCCGGAGAGAAGACTTGGTTCGTGCTTCCTCCATCCTGTTTTAGAACATTAATAAACATGCTCATGGATATTTTACTTTAGAGCCTGCGTGCTCATGTTTGCCCTGTGTGGCCCTTTTGCTTTAAACAATGTTTTCCGCTGCGTATTGAATTGTTTATTATGTATGTTTATGGATGACTTATGTGTGAATGATATTCATGACGCCTTGTATAATATGAATGTGTTGGACTGCGGTTGACTATTCGTATTGTACGGCGGGTTGTTGACGTGTCCGGGGAGGTCCGGGGCGTGACAATTAAGTTGGTATCAGAGCCTTAGTCCATAAACTTCATAATGAAGTCTCAAAATTCTCTTTTGAAAAGATTTTGAAAACCATGAGCATAGAAGTTTTGTACTTGGAGAGCTTTTGGTACTTGGGTTGCAAGGTCTCTAATTGTTAAGATGGTACCCTTAGCAATTGGTATGGCGGTGACTCGAGCCAAAATGTGTCTTAAGTACCTATCCGTCAACTGACATTTGATACGAGTCTAACGACTCTTTCCAAATTTCTTTCAGAAATGGACCGTGGTGGCAGGATCACTAGGAGGAACCCGACCGGCCGTGTACCAGTGGAGACTGGACAGGGCAGTCGAAGGACCTCTAGGGCATCTAGAGGAGCTGGCCGTGGAGGCCGATCACAGACCGTGAGTGACGGTCATGTCGACACAGAAAGTGAAACCTACTGGTCCTATGAGGACTCGACTTACCAACCGGAAACCGAGCCGGTTGAGACCCCTTACGAAGGGGATGACGATGATGTGAGTGATGAAGAAGGGGAGAATGACTCCCTAGCAAGAATTGAGGCGCTGCTCCAGCAATATCAGCGGGAGCGCGAGGAAAGGAGGGAACGCCGTAGGCGCCGAGGAGGGCGAACTTCGGGAGGGGCTTCAAGGGGAAGGAGCCATGGCAACTCTAGGGCCCACGTTGAACCACATGGGGGCCGGGGTGATGGAGGTCCAATCATAAGGATCTCCAAGTACATCAAAGAGGCACGAGATTTGGGGTGCAAACCGTTCGATGGAACGGGTGACATCTCCATTTCGGCGCAATGGATCAAGAGGCTGAATGAGGCGGCCCTGGACATGCAACTCACCCCCGAATATAAGCTAAGGGTTGCGGTGAGGTTACTTGAAGGTATGGCATCCAAGTGGTGGGATGGGACCAAAAGCAAATATGGTGAGACCGTCACTTGGGAGAATTTCCGAGAGGAATTCTTCGCACAATACTACTCGGATTTCGAGGTGAACAAAAAGGTGAGGGAATACACCCTTCTAACCCAAGGGGGTAACATGACGGTGAGGGAACTTGAGTACAAGTTCAGGGATCTTGCCGACTACATACCTGAGTATGCTTGTGACGAAAACCGGATGGTGAACCACTTTTGGGATGCCCTAGACTTGGAGATACGTGATAGGGCAACACAATTGCCTAACATGACGTTCGCCCAAGTGGTTGATCAAGGGTTAAAAGGAGAGAAACAATGGGAAGAAAGGAAGAAGAAGGACGCCGAGGAGGCGAAAAAGAGAAAGTGGGAGAGTCATGGCTCTCAAGGTTCCAACAAGAAGGGGAACCATGGGGGAGGATCTTTCCGGGCACCCCCGCCACCCTCTCGGGGAAACCAAGGCCCGAGTGGGCAAGGCTCGAGGACACAAGCCTCAGTGGTGACTCGTTGCAGCAATTGCAAGAAAAACCACTCCGGTAAATGTCGCGACCCCCCTAGATGTTTCCAATGCGGGGATGCCGGGCATTTGAAGGCGCATTGTCCACAATTGGGTGTGGCAAGGGCATCGGGACCGAGTAGTGGCGCGACGGGCACACGGAGTCAACCCGGGGCTTCTCAAGCAAGCCGGGGACATGGGGGAGCAAGCACGAGCAACGCGCCATCCGTGAATCAAGGAAGGACTCAAGCTAGAGTCTATGCGATGACGGAGGCGGATGCTCGAGCAAACCCGGATTCCATTGCAGGTATTTATCTCATTAAAGTGTGGTAGATTAGCCCTACTTATGTGTACATGTTTAGGGATTAAGCCCCGAACAATTTAGGATCGAAGTGGGAATGTTTAAAGTTAAAACATGCAAAAAGGGGGGCAACCGGCGCCGGACATTTCATAACCGGCGCCGGAGATGGCGATTCGGTGAGCCTGTTTGGAACCGGCTCTCTCCAACCGGTGCACAACGAGGCATGTTTCCAGCCAACCGGCGCCGGACACCCCCTAACCGGCGTCGGACCTGCCCTGGGACGAGCCTGTGTCCGACCGGCTCTCCATAACCGGCGCTGCTAGCCGGGAAACCCACCCAACCGGCGCCGGAAACCCACCAACCGGCGCCGGACCTTCGATGGAAGCAGCCTGTGTGGAACCGGCCCATTGTGACCGGGGCAGCCGGGACGTTTAACCGGGACAACCGGCGCCGGTCAGGCCTGAACCGGCGCCGGTCCGAAGTCTTTTTCGGCTGAAAATTTTCCGTACCCAAGCGGGACCCACCCCGTTTGAACGGTAAATGCACCCTAACCCTAGATAAAGTTTAGGCATGACAAGAATGGTGTCTTACATGGCTTATACATGTAGGAACGTTAAAGATTAATGGGAAGGATGCACGAATCCTTATCGACACCGGAGCGCAACGTTCATTCGTGAGTGAGGCGTTCGCCGAGGATTTAGGGATGCAATCAATACCAATGACGCAAACTCTAGTGGTATCAACACCACTAGGGGATGACATTGAAAGAGCTAGTTACTATCCATCTTGTGAGGTGGAAATCGATGGCCAAACCTTGACGTGTGATTTCGTACCGCTGAGTATGATGGAGTTCGATGCAATCCTAGGGATGGATTGGCTAGAAAAGCATCATGCTAGGGTAGATTGCTACACAAAGGTTTTGGAACTCGAAGGCAATGATGGGGACACCCTACGCTTCGAGGGGGATCGAGGCAAATCAAACAGTTGTATCATTTCCGCCGTGAGAGCGAGAAGTATGATAAGAAAGGGGTGCCACGCATATCTAGCATACGTGATTGACAAAACCAAGGAGGAAACGAACATCGACGACGTGAGGGTGGTTTGTAAGTATCCGGATGTCTTTCCTAAAGACCTACCGGGGCTTCCACCTGATAGGGAGATTGAATTTGTGATCGAGGTCGAGCCTGGTACCAAACCAATCTCCATACCGCCATACCGTATGGCACCCGCTGAACTTAACGAGTTGAAAACCCAATTGCAAGAGCTTTTGGATAACGGTTTCATTAGACCAAGCCACTCCCCGTGGGGAGCACCCGTTCTGTTTGTGAAAAAGAAAGATGGAACACTTCGAATGTGTATTGACTATCGTCAACTGAACAAGGTCACAATCAAGAATAGGTATCCCTTGCCCAGGATTGATGACTTGTTTGATCAACTACGAGGGGCAACCGTGTTTTCAAAGATTGACTTGAGGTCGGGTTACCATCAATTGAAGATTAAGGAAAATGACATACCAAAAAGTGCTTTTCGCACAAGGTATGGGCACTTTGAATTCCTTGTTATGTCGTTTGGGTTAACAAACGCCCCAGCGGCATTCATGGACTTGATGAACCGAGTATTTCATAAATACTTGGACCGATTCGTGATCGTGTTCATAGATGACATCTTGATTTACTCAAAGAGTGAAGAAGAGCATGAAGAGCACCTGATACTTGTTCTTGAGACACTACGGGAGAAGCAACTCTATGCCAAATTTTCTAAATGCGAATTTTGGCTAAAGGAGATTGGCTTCCTCGGGCACGTGGTTTCAGGATCGGGAATTACTGTTGATAAAAAGAAGATAGAAGCCATTACCGAATGGGAGAGGCCAAAGAACGTCAAGGAAATTCGTAGTTTTCTTGGATTGGCAGGTTACTACAGAAAGTTCGTGGAGAAGTTCTCTGTTTTGGCATCGCCATTGACGAAGCTCACTCGTAAAGGAGCTAAGTTTGTATGGGATGACAAATGTGAGAAAGGGTTCATGGAACTAAAGAAGAGATTGACTGAGGCACCGGTACTTGCATTACCCAAACAAGGTGTGGGGTACGATGTCTATAGCGATGCGAGCATCCAAGGGCTTGGATGTGTACTGATGCAGAATGGGAGGGTAATCGCCTATGCTTCACGACAGTTGAAGAAGCATGAGGTGAATTATCCTACTCATGATTTGGAGCTGGGGGCAGTGGTGTTTGCACTGAAGATATGGAGACATTATCTCTACGGGGAGACATGTCACATATACACTGATCACAAGAGCTTGAAATACGTGTTTACTCAGAAAGAGTTAAACATGAGACAGAGACGGTGGATGGAGCTGATAAAAGACTACCATCTAGTGATAGAGTATCACCCAGGCAAGGCAAACGTGGTGGCAGATGCTTTGAGCCGGAAGAGCTCGTCTGAGGCATTGCTAGCTAATTTGAGGGCATTAAGAGCCCAACTGGAGGTATCTAGCGATGGTGCCTTATTGGCACGATTTGAGGTGAGACCGACCTTACTTGATGAGATCAAGAAGGGTCAAGAGACTGACGCAGAACTTATGAAGGTTCGGGAACGCATGCAAGCGGGACCGGTGGAGGATTTCAGGGAAAGAGATGATGGTCTCTTGTTATTTCGTGACCGAGTGTGTGTACCGTCAGATGATGAGCTCCGTAAGTCCATCTTAGAGGAGGCTCATTCATCGGCTTATGCCATGCACCCAGGGGGCACGAAAATGTACCGAGATCTGAAAGAAAGTTACTGGTGGTCTGGAATGAAGAGAGAAATAGCCGAATACATCAGTCGATGTCTTACTTGTCAACAAGTCAAGGCGGAACATCAGCATCCAGCAGGCTTATTGCAACCACTTTCCATTCCTGAATGGAAGTGGGAACACGTGACTATGGATTTTGTGGTAGGTTTACCACGGACAATCAGGAACTATGATGCAGTTTGGGTTGTCGTAGATAGGCTCACGAAGAGTGCACACTTCTTACCTATCAACACTACTTACCCACTTGAGAGGTTAGCCAAATTGTATACGGATGAGATCGTGAGGCTACATGGGGTTCCAGTGACCATTGTATCCGATAGAGACCCACGATTCACATCACGTTTTTGGCCGAAATTTCAGGAGTCTATGGGAACGAGGTTGAAGTTCAGTACTGCCTTCCACCCACAGACGGATGGGCAGTCTGAAAGAGTCATACAGATCTTAGAAGACATGCTGAGGGCTTGTGCATTGGAGTTCCAAGGAAGTTGGGACAACCACTTAGCACTTGTGGAGTTTGCCTATAACAACAGTTATCAGGCAAGCATCGGCATGCCTCCATACGAGGCATTGTATGGGAGGAGGTGCCGTACACCGTTATGCTGGGACGAGGTTGGCATGGCCAAACTCGAGGGTACTGAGTTGGTTGAGATCACCAAGTCAAAGGTGAAGTTGATTCGAGAGAGACTCAAAGCGGCTCAGGATAGACAAAAGAGTTATGCAGATAAGCGTCGGAGAACCTTAGAGTTTAAGGTTGATGACGAGGTATTCTTGAAAGTTTCTCCTTGGAAAGGAATCATCCGATTCCAAACCCGAGGAAAGCTTAATCCACGATACATAGGTCCATTCAGAATTATAGAGAGGATTGGGGCCGTAGCATATCGTCTGCAGTTAACTCCTGAATTAGAGAAGATACATAATGTGTTTCATGTATCCATGCTTAAGAAGTATGTGCATGATCCCTCTCACGTATTGGAGAAGCCACCTGTAGAGGTACGTGAGGATTTGAACTACGCTGTGCAACCTATCAAGGTCACCGATAGAAAGGTGAAGAAACTGAGGAGCAAAGAAGTCCCAATGGTTAAAGTCCTGTGGAAGAGCGATCGGGTCGAAGAAGAGACATGGGAAACAGAAGCTTTGATGAGGAAGCAGTATGCTTTCCTATTTGAGTAGAGCTGTGAATTTCGGGGACGAAATTCCTGTTAAGGGGGGGGGGGGTGAACTTGTGACACCGCACCCGAACGTCCTTGAAAATTCCATTTAAAATTCAAAGTTTACGAAGTGAATTTCCGACTTCCAAACAATTGTAAAACGATTAATGTTTTTCGTAGTGCATGGTTGATTTTTGTACTGTTCAAACTCGTACATTAGTATCGGGTTCGCAAATACTTATTTGGTCCTTATTAATGAATATAAGAGCCCAACATTTCCCAAATAAAGATATACAACCTTTCAAGACAAACTGAGGAAGGACGGGCGGCCCAAACATTATTTCGGGCCCAACCCGCTAAAAATAGCAAGTATTCGAGAATGGCGTCCTAGACCCACTCGGTAGTGACCCACACGGCTAGTAGCCCAATAATATGTATGACAAATGTCAAAATAAGTGATGGAATGATTAGAGAAGAATACAAATGCATATAGCCCCATCTTTGGCATTATGGAGCTAAATAATGGGAGTAGGGTTTTTCTTCTATAATATTCATCACATGAATTATTGGGATGATCCTACACATATTGGGAATCAATGATATGATGTAGGAAGTTAACTTGTTCTAAATAAATTAGGATGAGTACAAAAAGACATCTTTTGACAAAAGATTAAACAATAGGACCCATTCTTCCATTTTTGGATGTATTAGTTAATATTTTGCTCCCAAAATAATTGGGGAACAACATGCTGCGCCCCATCCCTTCCTTCCACCTTCAAGACAAGAAAAATAATGTTAGGAGGATGCCATAGCTGACTTTAGGGGCTGGAATTGACAAAGGAAGCAAGAGGGAACCCCACCTAGTCTATTTTCGCACAAAAGGATGGTGCTGGTTGTCTCCCTCCATGAGTGATGTTATACTCGACCAAATAAGGTGAATGAGGTGTCATTGGATAGCCTTTGAAGTCTAGTTACTTATTTGAGTGGTATCTGTTCGAGAAGGGAGAGTTTATCCCACAAAAAACCGAGCTGGAGTGAACTGCTGTCTGTAAACTCGAGCAGTGAGAGTGCTGAAGCTGTTTGGTTGATATATCGAATTATACCAATCCAATCAAGGCGAGTAAGATACCAAAAGAAAGCTCTCAAGACGAGGAATCCGTGAAGGTCTGGTTTGCATCAATCGGAGTAGTGGAAGGCTTCCAAATCGTCCGAGCAAAACGCAACCTCGCAGAAACGGATCTACTCTTCTAAAAGTGAGTTGTTAACCCCAAAACCTTTCCATTCATTTTCCAAATGATATGAAAGATTGGTGGAACTATTATACACTACTCCAAGTGTATAATATGTCCCTATTAAGTTATTTTATTGATGTAAAGGTTAGATACTAACCTAGAGCAAATCTTGGAAAACTAGGAAACGAGTTAGCCGGAAAACACTCATTCTAGGGGCTGTTTTCGTACCAACGATTAGGGGTTGAACTAGCACTTTGAGGAGGCTGTTTAACACTCAATTCCAAGCAAGGAATCAGTTCTCAAACCTTCTTGGCCGAGGCTTTGGTCATTGGAGCGAGAAGGAAGGTTTTAAAGCTCATTTGAGGTGAGGATTGACATCTAATTGCTTACAACTTGTAGGTTAAGCATGAGATTACCTAAATGCTTAAATCATGATTTTTCATGGATTATGATGATTATATATTGATGAAATATTGATATAGTTGCCAAAGAATGAAATTTGAAATGATTTGAGAAGGTATGAATAATATGAGATTAAATGAGTATAAATGAACTATTTTGTGAAATAGGCATTTTGCTTATGTATGAATTATGTGGATACATAAATGAATATTTGTGTATTGAGATTGAATGCTTAAGTTGCTGCTACATAATTATAAATATGTAGAGAATTACAAATAATGAGGATAATGGTATGATAACAATAATCTTAATAGTATTGAAATACTAGTTAGTGATTATTGGAACTTGTTGATTAAATTGATCCTAGGGATTGGATTGTATGAAAGGTACTTGAATATAGTTCGAGTGTATATAATAACTTAGTATGGAACTAAGGTTAAGTTATGGGAATTTTTTAAGGATGACCCATGGTAGTTTAATGATATGTCAATTCTAGGCATAGGGTTGCTTGAGAATTAGACCTTAATGCATGGTGATGTGATAGAGCCGAGCTCTAGAATGCATGTAAGGTGTAGACTTGGAGTCTATGTATTGTATAGCTAGAGCCGAGCTCTAGGACTTGCGTGGTGATGTGATAGAGTCGAGCTCTAGAACGCAAGGTAAGGAAATTGACCCGAGGTATATGAATTGTATGGTGATGTGGTAGAGCCGAGCTCTAGAATACAATGTCATGTACTAGGGTTGGACTCTAGGAGTTGACGTGACTTATAGTCACGGGGTTGGGAATGGTGATTTCCAAATGAACATGGGCCCACGAGCCGACTACTTGACTCTTATATAAAGTAAGTATATTTTTAAACGGGGTAACTTAGGGTTACAATCATAATGTACTATCACCCTATTTGAGGGTCTTGTGTTTGAAATACTTGTTGTATATCTATTAGATGTCTGCCACACCAGTACTTTATAGCCGTATAGAGTACTGACCCCTTCGGGGGCGTCCCACCACCATTTCAGGTTGAGGCTAGAGCTTGCTTCCTGTGCTCGTTGCCCGAGTGATTTCCCGGAGAGAAGACTTGGTTCGTGCTTCCTCCATCCTGTTTTAGAACATTAATAAACATGCTCATGGATATTTTACTTTAGAGCCTGCGTGCTCATGTTTGCCCTGTGTGGCCCTTTTGCTTTAAACAATGTTTTCCGCTGCGTATTGAATTGTTTATTATGTATGTTTATGGATGACTTATGTGTGAATGATATTCATGACGCCTTGTATAATATGAATGTGTTGGACTCCGGTTGACTATTCGTATTGTACGGCGGGTTGTTGACGTGTCCGGGGAGGTCCGGGGCGTGACAAATAGTCAACTGTAGTCCAACACATTCATATTATACAAGGCGTCTTGAATATCATTCACACACATAACATTCATAAACAAACATAATAAGTAATTCATAACGCAGCGGAAAAACATTGTCTAAAACAAAAGGGCCACACAGGGCTATTCATGAGCACGCAGGCTCTTTAGTAAAATATCCATGAGCAAATTTATTAGTGTTCAAATCAGAATGGAGGAAGCACGAACCACGTCTTCTCTCCAAAGGATCACCCAAGCAACAGGCACAGGTAGCAAACTCGAGCCTCAACCTGAAATGGTGGTGGGACGCCCCCGAAGGGGTCAGTACTCTATACGGCTATAAAGTACTGGTGTGGATGGCATCTAAGAGATATACAACAAGTATTTCAAACACAAGACCCTCAAATAGGGTGATAATACAATATAGTGGTAACCCTAAGTTACCCCGTTTGAAAATATACTTACTTTATATAAAAGTCAAGTAATCGGCCCATGGGCCCATGTTCATTTAGAAATCACCATTCCCATTCCCCGTGACTATAAGCCACGACAATTCATAGAGTTCATCACATTACTATTGCATAGCAAGGGCTCGGCCCAACTACATTTCTATGCAATCCTTTATGTCAAATACATCCTATCACATTTGCATAGCAAGAGCTCGGCCCAACTACGTTTCTATGCAAACCACAATTTACATGGCAAGGGCTCGGCCCAACTACGTTTCTATGCAAACCACAATTTACATGGCAAGGGCTCGGCCCAACTACATTTCCATGCAAATAACAATTACATCCTATCACATTTGCAAAGCAAGGGCTCGGCCCAACTACGTTTCTATGCAAATCACAATTTACATTGCAAGGGCTCGGCCCAACTACATTTCCATGCAAATAACAATTACATCCTATCACATTTGCATAGCAAGGGCTCGGCCCAACTACGTTTCTATGCAAATCACAATTTACATGGCAAGGGCTCGGCCCAACTACGTTTCCATGCAATCATAGAGTCCGGCTCTAATTCTACATTATAGTCCAATCCCTAAGCAAACCTATGCCTAGAATTGACATCTCATTAATCTACCTTGGGTCATTCTTAATGACGGCCCATAACTTACCCTTAGCTTCATACTAAGTCATTTTATACACTTGAAGTACATTCAAGTGCATTCCATACACTCCAATACTTAGGATCAATTCCATTAACAATTTCAAATAATCACTAACTAGTATTTCAATACTATTAAGATTATTGTCATCATACAAATATCATCATTTTGTAATTCTCTACATATTTATAAGTATGTAGCAGCAACTTAAACATTCAACTTCAATACATAAATATCCATTTATGTATCCACATATTTAATACATGAGTAAAATCCCTATTTCACAAAATAGTTCATTTATAACTCATTTAATCTCATATTATCCATACACCTCAAATCATTTCCAATTTCATTCTTTGGGAACTATATCAATATTTAATCATCATAATCCATGAAAAAATTATGATTTAGGCATTTAGGTAATCTCATGCTTAACCTACAAGTTGTAAACAATTAGATGTCGATCCTCACCTTTATTGAGCTTTAAACTTTTCCTTCTTGATCCAATGACCAAAGCCTCGGCCAAGGAAGTTTGAGAACTGATTCCTTGCTTAGAAATGAGTGTTAAACAGCCTCCTCAAGGTGCTAGCTCAACTCCTAACCGAAGACACAAAAACAGTCCCTAGAACGGGTGTTTTCCGACAAATTCGTTCCCTAACCTTTGAATACAAAAACGTATTCTGCGAGGTTGTGTTTTGTTCGGACAATTTGGAAGCCTTCCACTACTCCGATTGATGAAAACCAGACCTCCACAGATTCATCTTCTTGATATCTTTCTTTTGGTATCTTATACGACTTAATTGGACAAGTTAATCTCAAGTTATGACTCAAACAATCAGAGCTACGCACTGAAGAATGAACCTGCGGACTGCTCTCTTCCTTCCTTCTCTCTTGGGTTGTGTGGATCCCCTTTGCTCTCTTATCTCATTGGGGTTCGATTGGGGTATAGGGGGAGTGTATAAGAGGCCTCAATCATGCTAAGAGAGCATGTGGTTCACAAAAAGAAAGGTAGGGTGTTTGATTTCAATCAAACATGGTGTGAACCTCCTCTTTTATTTCCTTTTTGTAATGTTGTAGCTCATGAGTCAAAAAGTCCGCCCCACATAGTTGTCTCACCCATTTTTCTTTGTCTTGCAGGTACCAAGGTCATGTGGAATGGTTCCCAAATGATCCCATTCAATTTGGGGTCCAAAATACCTACCAATACTTTCAAACTGAAAAGATGGACCCTGTTGTTTTATCTTTGTCATGAGATGTCTTTTTGTACTCATTATAATTTATGTAGGCCAAGTCAACTTCATACATCATATTATTGATCCCCAATATGTGTAGGATCATCCCAATAATTTACATGATGAATATTATAGAAGAAAAAATCATACTCCCATTATTTAGCTCAATAATGTCAAAGATGGGACCATAGGCATTTGTATTCTTCTCTAATCATTCCATCCCTTATTTTGACATTTGTCGTTCATATTATTGGACTACTAGCCATGTGGGTCACCCTCGAGTGGGCCTCAGACGCCCTTCTTGAATACTTACTATTTTTAGCAGGTTGGGCCCAAAATAATGCTTGGGCCGCCCGACCTTTCTCAACTTGTCTTGAAAGGTTATATAACATTGTTTAGGTAATGGTGGGCTCTTATGTTCATTAATAAGGCCCATATAAGTATTTGCAAAACTGACACCAATATACGAGTTTGAACAGTACAATAATCAATCATGCGCTATGTAAAACATTAATCGTTTTACAATTGTTTGGAAATCGGAAATTCAATACATAGACAATTCATTTTTTTTAAATTGAATTTTCAAGGACGTTCGGGTGCGGTGTCACACTAGGTGTGTGGTTTTGAATAGCAAAAGTATGGATGAGCTTTGAGTCTACAATCTCTTGCAATGAGGGGTTGTGATGTAAGGAGAAATTGGATGTTTTTGGAATGATGGTGTAACATCCTGGCCCTGCAAGACCTGATTTAATTACTCCAGACCTCTAGTACTGTCCTTATAAATCACCACTAGCTTTTTTCGTGCACTTTGTCCTCATTCGTGCGCCACTAAGAAACTTTTCATTGGAGTCACTCATCCTAAGACTACTCCCATACAAGCACGTTTAACTTGAAATTCCTAGGAGGTGAGTTCCCTTAAAAGAAGATTCACCCATGAGTAGTACTTTTAATTATTTTCAAATTAATCTGAAGTATTACAGATGGTGGTGTGGATGTGAATAAGTGTGATGTTGCTTGTGAACAAATGAAGAAGAAATGTTGAGGTGAAGAAAGTTGAGGTGCTGGAATCAGGATAGCGGTGGGAGCTATACAGGACAAATAATTTGGTGAAGGGTATAATTGATCGAGTGATTATTTTATTTATTAAACTTAAAAGGGAAAACTATCAAATAAGCCCCCGTACTATGTCTAAAAAGTCGATTAGGCCTTCGTACTTTACAAACACTCAATTAAGTCCTCGAACTATTACAAAACGTTCAATTAAGCCCTTTTGGTCGGTAAGTAGCCGGTTTCCCGGTTAAATGTAACCTGTTTCCCAGCAGCCGCCGTTGCTGGGGTTCGAGCACATCGTCGTCGTCGTCGCCGTTTAACCGGGAAACCGGTTACTTACCGACCAAAAGAGCTTAATTGAACGTTTTTTAATAGTTCGAGGAGTTAATTGAGTGTTTGTAAAGTACGAGGGTCTAATCGACTTTTTCGACATAGTACGGGGGCTTATTTGATAGTTTTCCCAACTTAAAAATAATGATTGTGTTCATTACAAAGGGGGCTGGGAATAGAATTGTCCATAGTTAAAACCAAAAAAATGGAATTGGCCCAGTGCAAAATAAAATCTGACCCAGTGCAAAAAAGATCTGGCCCGGTACGAAATAAAATTTGGCCCGTTACAAAAAATGGTCCATAGCTAATCTAAGGAGTAAAAAGGAATGTGTTGACCGTTGACCTCAAGCGCAGGCTCGCAGCAGCCAGCAGAGGTCGATGAATTAGACGCACGAAGCAGCCCGCAGCGCAGGATTACACAGACCGCCACACCGCTCGCTACTCGCATCGCCAGACGCCGCAGGCCCGCTCGCAACTCTCCAGCTCCGCCGCGCACATTCCCGGAGGCCGCACGCCCCGACGCCCTCTTTCTGGAACTGTGCCGCTCGCCCACTCCTGCTCGCTTCTTCTCTCGATTCAGATTAGGTCCTCTATTTTTTTACAAATTACAATTTATATTATAATTTAAGTATTGTATTTTTTATTTTGGTTTGTGTTAGTTATTTAGCGTGTTATTTAATTCGTTTGTGTAATTGTGTGCTTTGATTTTTTTTAATACGTGTGTTTTTGAATTGTGAAATGGAAAATTAGGAATGCCAAATGTGATTTGTGAATTTTTTAAAATATTAATAATTTAACATGAATTATGTGAATTAAAGTAAAATATTGACTAGTCTTTTTTTGTTGCTAATTTTAGTAGGGTATGGCTACTCTATCTACTTCTAAAAAGGAAAAAAACGATATTGCGTTCGGTTTATAAGCCTAGTACAAGTACACAAAATAGACAAGAGTTAATGTCTCAATTGAAACTCCATATATCTCATCTGCTCAAGAGGAAGTAGTTTCTGATGCACTTGTAATTGAGTGGGATCCGGGAAAACGAAAAAAGATAAGTGATTGGCCATTAGAGAAAAGATATTAAATTAGACGATCTTATTTGATGCTTGGACCTTATCAACCGAAACTGAACTTTTACAAAGGTTGAGAATACAAAGATAAGATACGTCGTTTTCAATCCATTTGCTTCAATGAATTTAATTGGTTGGAATACTCTCCAACAACACATGAGGCATATTGTTTTCCATGCTTTCTCTTCAGTGATGTTGTGCATTCCTCTTGTTTTTCGGCTTAAGCGATTTCTAGTTTTGATAGTTGGAGACGAGTTCATCAGGTTAAAGAATGTGTTTCTTATGCATTGTGGTTCATCATCTTCATCACCTTATGCAACTGAACGGCGTGTTCAGTTAATGTTTTAGTTTCAAATATTGTATGTACTGTTTAAAAATATTATTATGAATTTTAATGGATTTTAACCATTATGTTCACACTATTTACGCTCTTAAAATTTTTATACAATATTTTTAGTTTATAGTCGGCCCCTCCTGAACATCCGTCCTGGCTACGCTCCTGATTGGAGGGTATGCCCTTTATTTTGTGTACAAATATTCAGTGTATTATGGAATTACGCTAAGATCAGGGGCATGTTTGCTTCATTTTTAAAACCATTATGAGTACAGGTGATGTAAACAGTTTTAGCGGGTTAAGTACATACTTAATAAACGTGTTATCTCTTTTTTTGTTGTACTTTCTCGCATATTAATTTTTTTTTAAGCATCAACTTATTCTCCTTATGACAAGCATGCTCTCTTTATTAATATAACAACTTTTTCTTTTCGTATCAGATCTGTTTCGATCATTCCTGCATTAATATTCATATCATCTTCATCTTCATCTTAGACGGCTAGACCTCTATTAAATCCTATCAGGCCATTAACACTGATGGACTGCCTCTTCCTTTCAGAACGCTGTCGGAATCAGGGGGTGAGCCGGTGCCGCCCCCTTCCCCAGAGGTCCTATGGCCTTATACCTCACGTTCCGTAGCAGAAGTAAGCTTTAGTGGTAGCTGGTGCAGGGCAGAACGGCTTGCTCGGCTTGCTTCGGACGGTTCAAAATTTTTAACTTACTACAACGGCGTCGTTTAAGACTTTAAGTTAGTGGTACGTAAAATAAAAACTCAGCCACAAAGTCTTAAACGACACCAGATTCAATTCGGGAGTAAAGCCACATCTGAAACAGCCCTGCTTGTTGTACACACTTTTTTGTACACACTTGTACACATGTCTATGAACAGGCTATGTTTTTGTCCGTGAATAGTCTGTTCATAGACAAAACATGTTCATAGACATGTTCACAGAGACATGTGTACTGGTGTGTAGTACAAAAAATGTATAATTGAAAAAATTGAAACTTAGCAAGAAAATTCCAGATCTTCGTAAACGAGATATCTCCAATAAATCATAACATTTCCATTAAAAACAAATGATTCAGAAGGAAGTTTGGTTTCGTTTGAATTATTTTATAAAGCTCTGGTAGATGAAGACTCCGATGGGAAAGATGGTGGGAAAAAAGAAAGTGATTCCTGCGATGCATTGTTACATTTTAGGGGGTATTTTGAACATTATAGTCGATAGAGTTAAGACATAACTCAATTGATGTGAAGTAAACATTCGTTTATTAAGCAATTTTAACTAAGCAATAGCTAATTAACGCTAAGACTTGGGGTTGGATCAGTTTTTTATAACAGAATTAACTTTAAAAAAAAATATAATTCCCCCGCATTCCGTTGAACTGATTCTTCATCTGATTATTATTACTATAATTATTACTCCGACTTCCCCCCCGCATTACGTATTATTATAAATGTGTTCTTTTTTGTGCAGATGGGAAATGATGTGTTATGAACCTATTCAGAGGCATAGAAAATGTCTTGTAGTATTGTCTGTCATCTACTCCCTTCACCAAGTATGGCTTATTACCTCCATTTAAAAGAACCGCTCGAGTTAGACATACCACACCTGTTTCTTCATCTGATTCTTCATCTGATTATTATTACTATAATTATTACTCCGACTTTCCCCCCGCATTACGTACTATTATAAATTTGTTCTTTTTTGTGCAAAAGGGAAATGATGTGTTATGAACCTATTTCAGAGGCATAGAAAATGTCTTGTAGTATGTGTCTGTCATCTACTCCCTTCACCAAGTATGGCTTATTAGCTCCATTTAAAAGAACCGCTCGAGGTAGACATACCGCACCTGTTTCAAGATCTGCATCCAGCCTAATGGTTAGAGCTGTTCAAGAGAATGAAGGGCCTAGACGTTTGGTAGACATCATCCGTCTTCTTCCTGATGTGTCCAAGAATTACTTTAGGAGTCCTTCCCGGAGAGCGCTTTTCGGGGGTATATCTTTGCTGGGAGGTTTTTACGTGGCCCAGACAATCTCACTGTCATTTGGAGCTTTAGGGGTAAATGATGTGATAGCTGCTGTGGTTTGTGTTCTCATCACGGAGTATGTGACACGGTTCTACTATAGTCAGCCTAAGGTGACTTTTCCGGTGGCCCTTTTGAACAACTTTAAGATGGGGTTCACTTATGGTCTCTTCATAGACGCTTTCAAACTCGCCAGTTGAGTTGATCTTTCTATGCTCCTCTCAAATGATGGAAGTGATTCTACTTGTAAGCTCATAGTTGTCATTTGTTATTACTGTAATACCTATTGGGCAGGTCTTGTTATTTGTATGCATTGATTATAAAGTCCTGGACTCCTGGTTCAGTTTTTTGTGTTTTAATCTACTGTAATTTAGAACAGTGTGCATGACATATGGTATGGACATGCCTAAGCTACAACCATCCAACTCGGGGAGGCGTCAGTTTCCGACCGCATTCAAGCGATCGGGATAGAGCACAATTTATACTATATACTACTATACTAGTACCATTTAGAATTTTAAACTTTTTACTAGACCTCATTAACTTCTTATGTGAAAATGATCAAAATGAGTTTGACAAGATGCTAAAATGCTTTATTGTCTATTTGCAGATTAGTGATTAGTATTGTGTATATCAAATGCTTTTAGCAAATATGATGATTACATGGTACTCTCGAGTTTTGAACATGAAGTGAATTGAACATGTTTATCACTTTTATACGTAGTATTTTTTTTATCGTAAAAGAGCGGTCGTTATATTAACATCAAGAATACATACAAGCATGGTTCTAAAACTCGGTTTAATCGGCCGCCTAGGCGTCGGAAATTTGCTAGGCGCCTCCATCCCGTAGAGATTTTATGTTGTTCGCTCCTATAGTCGCTCAGCCGACTAATCGGCCGCCCGGACCGAGAAATCGGCGGAAAACCGTTCGCCTACGAAGAAATGTAGTCGTTGCTAACCTTTTAATCAGTAGCTGCGTTTTGGACTTTTTTTACCGATGATGAGGGCGCCTCTTACATCCGTTCCCCCAATCATTAAATTTGGTGTGCCTCTTTCTTTACTTCCCAGATCTAAAAACGCAACTTTCTTATCTTCGATGGAATGGCTGTGTGGTCATGAATCTTCTTCTCTTCTGCTTCTTTGTTGAGTATTAAATCTACACACTTCTCCGCTCTCCGGTGTCCCGCGGTCCAGACAGTCTAGGTAAAAATATTTTCATTAAAAATGCTATTCCTGAGTTGTATTATATGTGCTGGGAAGTCTGAAACTGTTGGTAAGCAGAGAAGTGAAGAACTGGATATGAACTCTTTGGTTATTAATTTATCAATGGAGACCCCACGCTTATAGGCCTATAGTCACGGAGTCATGGATTAATATGACCTATGGATGGACCCGGGCCGGTTCGGGCCCGGTTCGGGCCTAGGCCCGGCCGGGCCTCGGGTCTGTTTTGTTGGGCCCGAGCCCGAACCGGTGGCCACCGGTTCCGGGTCCGGTTCCGGGCCGGGCCGGGCCGGGCCGGTCGGGCCACCCGGTTTAATTTTTTTTTTTTCCTTTCTTCCCCCACCCCCCCCCACCCCCCACCCCCCCAAACCCCCCCAAACCGGCCTAAACAGATAGCCCAAGCCCAACAACCCAAAACAAATGAAAAAAATTAAAAAAAAAATAGATTTGGCCCGGACCCGGGCCCGAACCGGCCGGGCCGGGCCGTCAAAACCATGAACCGAGCCCGGAACCGCCCCACCCCCGGGCCTCCGGCCCGAACCGGACCCGGACCCGGATAACCGGGCCGGGCCGGGCCCGCACAGTAGCGGGTCGGGCCGGTCCCGGGCCGGGCGGCCCGAACCGAGGCCATGCCTAATATGACCATATGAGTTCTTTATCTCCCCCAATCATTTGAACCTCATACATAGATTTTTTTTAATAATTTTATTACACATCCTATTAGCTATGCGCCTCTGCAATAAGAAACCTATTAGCTCTGGGTTTTATTGTGTTAAGCAAATGATGAGGAATTGAAACATAAAAGGTTGTAGTTTTGTACAGAACATTGAAAAATGCATCCTCTGAAGCATTCCCTTAGTTAAACAAGTAGTGGCTGACATGGCTAGAAAGTATAAACAAGTTATAGTATCCTTTCTTCTTCATATGTTGACATGCCGTATCCATTAAAACATTAATTCTTGACATTTGTCTTTTAGATTTTAAATGAAGTGTGATTTACTTGGAAACCCCAATGTAATTCATGTTGTAATTTGTATGTGCTGGGAGTTGGGGTACTTCTTAGTCATGTTAATGAGTGACCAAATCAAACATTTAAAGCTCCATTACTAGAAAGAGGGCATAGAAGGGGTGACTGTCATCCCTGGAAGAAGCATTACATGATTTAAGCAGTGTTTGTGGTTGCTTAAAAAAAGCGCTTTTTAGCTTTTGGCTTAAAAAAAAGCTAAAAAGAGTGTTTTCAAATGACAGCTTCTGCTTAAATTAATCACTTAAATGCCAAAAGCTGGAAGCAGGTGGAAGGGTGCTTTAAACTGCTTTTCACTTTTTCTATTACACAAAAAGTACTTATTTTACCAAACATTACCAACTTTTACTTTTTCAGAATCACTTTTTTCTCAAACACTACCAACTTTTACTATTAATCACTTTTCCCAAAATCACTTTAAAAAATCACTTTTTTAAAGTTGAAGCAATTGCAAACACTCCCTTAGTCACTTATTATTCAGAGGTTCTCATCCTTGAAAGTGAGCACAAAGTAGGAAGAGAATAGAACTGCCGAAGTTAATTTAAAGTATAAGTTCAAGTTTGGATGATTAGTGAGCACCAGTATTTCACTTTAATATGTATGGAGAATTGTAGACATAAGTAACTTACTGATTACACGTGCTCTTCTATTTCAATTTTGGTACTTGTGAACTCATTGATAAGTGCAGAAATAATTACTGGGTCACTTGAATTGCTATTATGTAATGTCATTATCCTCTCAATCTCTCTCATTATAAGAGAAAAAAACCAAACCAATGAGTTGAAAATAGCTTATACCTTGTTTTTCAAACTTGAATTCACTAACATCCAATAAAGATATTTTCATTGTATTATTAATACTTACTGCTGATTTTTCTATTAAGACCGTCCAAACGGTCCAACTAAATTTATTATAGTTACTTGATTACTTCACTTACTTGTTAGTTCTTACTAAGATATAATTCGAAAATATCATGATTACACTGATTCTCTTGGCAAGCATTTGAGTTACTGTTTTAATGCAATATAGTCACTTTTGACTATGGTTTTGAAGTGATGTTTGTATTACTAATCTTTTGCAAATCGCTATTGCACTGAAGTTTGTATAGAGCATACAAAAATAAAGTTCGTATACGTTATGTTATCTCAATAAACTTAATTTCCCTTAAATATTTCATATTTGAATTTGAATTTGATTCACAGTTCCATAAAACTGTTGCAGGGATCATGTTAATTAAGATGATTGCAGGGCAGTTTGGGAGGGCAGTCTGGGCTTGCTGTGTATCTTATTAGCTCAAACCATTAGTTTGAGCTCAAAGCATTGCCAGTTTTATCTTATTAGCTCATTGTGATGTATTGATGTTTTAAACTTTTAATTGTTATAAACCTAGTTGTCCTAACTTATTAATTATTAAGCTAGGTAGTGCGTAAAACATGTTTATTATGTTTAAACTTTAAACTTTATTTGTTTAATGTAGTAGTTTTTGCTGAGAATATTTTATTTTTTGATATTGTGTGAAACCGAGTTGGCCGCCTAGTCGGCGCCTAGTCCGCCTAGGCGCTAGGCGGTGCTTGACCGCCCGACTAGCGCCTAGCGAATTTTAGAACATTGCATACAAGATAGCGTTCAGACAAAATTTACAGATCTAATCATGAACTCTAGGAGTAGACTTAGAGACAGTCACTTCATACAAATCAACATGACTCGCTAAACCTGAAACTGACAAATTTAGGCCTAAAACGACTGGAACTGAAACCCTGCCGATAAAAAAAACTCCAAAAATCCAAACATTCAAACCAAATCTACTCAAGAGAAACAAGTGATACTAAAGAGAATATAATACTTGTTGAGGTATATTATCCCGGCCTACTACTATTCAAGGGTCCAAGATATTACCCCAGTTCAGAGCCCGGATGGCGGAGGTCATTCCAAGCTTATTAGGCCTGTTTCGGCCTTTAGGCCCATTTCGGCCCATTAGGGTAGGTTTTCCCCTACTCCCTTTCCCCTATAAATATGGGTTTTTCCCACATGTTTAGGATCCTTTTTTGGCTTTTCTCTTCTTCCCCAACTCATTCCTTCTCTCTAGAATAGTTTTGCAAGACTCCATTAATGGAGCTCAAATTGTACTATGTAAATGGTGAGGAGGGATTAATGAGAATGAGAGGGCTTGGACATTAGCCTAAAAAGTCTCGTGGTTTTCTCCCTTCCGGGTTTCCACGTAAAAAGAGCTTATTCATACACATTTATACATATATTTACTATATCGTGATGGATTAAACTCAACAATACTGAAAAAATCTTTCCACAAAACTCTTTCTGATATGGAGGTGGTTTCAGAGGAGGACGAGCTCTTACGATATCACCACTTTATGTATGAAACAACTTGTTAATAATCATTGAATAATCACATTAAAAAAAGTCATCGAATAATCACATTAAAAAATAATCTAATAATCTAAAATACTGGCTTGAATACTAAGGGGGTGTTCTGAGGAAGCGCTCCAGCCCAGCTGGCCGCCGACTCACTCTCCCTTATGGGAGGTCCCGAGTTTATCTTATTCATTTTTTGTTGAGAAATCGTCTTTAGATTAAACAAATATTCAGACTAGATAAAAAAGATTAAGTATCATTACAATACAACAAAAGGAAAATTAAACTTCATAAAATATAAAAAGCAAATATACTACAACATGGTGTTTATTATTGATTATCTAATAAATATCCGGCTTGCTCTTACGGGCATGTATGATATGTGGTTAGATTTGTTTCTTGCGGGCCAGGCTGCCCCGCCCAAATCGTTGGGCAGAAAAATAAAAAATCAGGTCCACCCACATTATAGCCTATTTTTCTGCATATCTATTGTGGGTGTGTAAATTTTAGAGTTAATTATCTTAGGTATGACTAAAACTTATCCAATTTATCAATCTATGACCTAACAAGTTTTTTTACCAAAATAATATTAAAATTTACAATATTTAATTAAATTCGTAATAAATAAATAAATAAATAATTTAGGTGGACACAAATACCCCTAGGCCCCTACGTTATATCTATAAAACCCTAAGCTTCTACTCTTTTCCCTAACCCAAGGCTCCATTCTCCCACCTCGGTAGATACACCCCTGCAGCCGCACACCCCCTGCCGCCGCTGCCCCGTGGCCCGCCATCTGCCGCGCGTCCAGGAGACACCATGGGCAGCCGTCGTCTATCCCATGCGCCAACCTGATAACACGCAGGGCAGCCAGTTCCATTCACGTAAAGCCTGAAGACGCTAATCACTTTTCCGCCATT